AGAGCCCAGAGCATCCAGACCATGACCAGGTGAGACAGGGTTATCAGTGAACCAGTGATAGAGGGTCAAACCTGGCCGTCCAGCTAAAGTCTTTCATCTTCTTGTTTACATCAAAACTTCTTCATGATTTTTCACAAATCCTCAACTTAAAGGAAAACTTCTCCTCCTGCAAAATGATCATTTCTATGCTGATGACTTGGTCTACATGCACCAAATATTCAGTTTTTTGCTGTTTTTAATGTATTTTATTAAGGTAGAATAACACGAGGTAGCTGCTGGCTTCCCGTTGTCATCCTCCATGTTGTTTGTCTTTCAGTAAGATGAATGCAGATAAGCGGGTGGAGAGCCCGATCCCAATCCTGCCGCTGTCCACACCCGACGTGGAGACGGAGAAACTCATCAAGATGAAAGACGATGAAGTGAGTGAAGCTCAGAGAATAACGCATCGCAGCAGGCGTTACGTCAGCGTGTGTGGATGTGAAGTGATGACTACGTAGCTTCATCCTCTCTGTGCTGTGGTTTCCTCTGCAGCTGAGGAGGATGCAGCAGATGCTCCAGAAGATGCAGCAGCAGATGCACGAGCAGGACCTGTGACCTGTGACCTGTGACCTCTTAATGTGACGTCTGTTATTCAGGACACAGAAATCAAACACAAAGCGCAGATTTAAACCTTCGTAAAAGTCCATCTCCTCCATACAGAAGCCCTGACTCTGGTGATCTAAATCTGATCTAAAGTCTTTTATGTTCGCTAGCCTCTTGTGGCCGAAATCAGTATTACAACAACAAACTTATAACCAAGCCATAAACACAGGAGATAAGAATACTTAAAGAAATCCCTTTCCTCTCTTTTTTACCTCTCAGGGCTTCCGTACTTCAGTGGATGAAGAACTCTTTAGATAAAAACAGTCTCAAAGAAACAGTAGGTGAACAGCATGCTGGGAGATCATTTAAATAATAAACTTTGTTTTTTTTAAATGCAGTCATTAGCCAAGTGAGTGTAGTTCGGCGTTAATAGAGAGTAGATCACACTTTAGATCACAGCAGTTTAAATACTAACTGAGACTAATGCACCGATCATGTAGTAGTTCATGCTCTGATACTGAGACTCAATGTGTGCAACTGAGACGTTGATGGATTTTGCTGATGGTATTATTATTATTATTATTATTATTATTATTATTAGTTATTTAATAAGGACCACGAACAAAATAACCCATTAATCAACAAGATCAACATATAAATACCAGCACATTACAGTACAGCTGTAACATTGTAATTCTTCACGATTAAAAACCATCAGCCTCTTTTAAATCTGCTGTGTGTGTGTGTGTGTGTGTGTGTGTGTGTGTATGTGGTTGTGTGCGTGTGTGTGTGTGTCATGCATTCGTGTCCTCTGACTCTGAGGAGATTAAGTGTTTTTACTCGGCATGATATTCAGTGAAGCCTCGATAAATACGTGAACTCGTCCTTAAACCTTGAGCCATGAAACAAAGTGTTGCAGTCTACAATCATTAAGGGAAGGAAACGCATGTAAAAACAATCCCTCATTCAGTACACTAATTCCTCTTTTAGTTTGTTTGCGTATAATAATCAGCATCACCACAGCTGTTACATGTGATTCAGATGAGACCGTTTGGTATTTAGGACTCCAGCTCCAGATATACTATTAAAGAAAGATCCCAACGATGTATAAGACCTATAATAACAATTACAATAATAATATTTGCAATAACTTTTGTTTGTGTACCACAAAAACAATGTGACACAGAAAATAAAATCTTGGTTTTCATCTGAAAGTGTCTGTTGTCTTACATCAATAAGTAAACGTGTGCATTTTTTAAATAATTATTTAATTCATATTTGTTTATTATTTGTCTAATGAAACATTTTTTTTATTACAAAACTGTCAAAAGGACTTGAGGGGTTTTTCCCAAATCCAGTGCAGCTAAAGTACGAGGAACTGTCATTTAGTGTTGATTCTGTCGCCCCCTGTGGACTAAAGTGGTAGTGTCTCTGAGCACCAGACTCTCTTTAAAGTTTAAACCCTCTCATGTTACTGCAGCAGGGTCTGACAGTCTGCCCCTCTGAGTCCTGGTCCTGGTTCTCCCGTGCCTCCCTTCCCTCCAGCGGGTCCATCAATACGTCCTGGGTCTCCAGCAGAGAGGAGAAGCTCTGCTCCTGCAGGAGGAGGAGGAGGAGGAGACGCTGCTGCTGCTGCAGGAGCAGAGCTCTCCTCCTCCCTCTGGAGCTCCGGATCTGGGTCTGTCCACGGTGGACCGGTCTCTGCTGGAGGATCCGGGTCTGTCCGCGGTGGACCGGTCTCTGCTGGAGGATCTGGGTCTGTCCGCGGTGGACCGGTCTCTGCTAGAGGATCCGGGTCTGTCCACGGTGGACCGGTCTGTGCTAGAGGATCTGGGTCTGTCCATGGTGGAGCGGTCTCTGCTAGAGGATCTGGGTCTGTCCACGGTGGAGCAGTCTCTGCTGGAGGATCTGGGTCTGTCCACGGTGGACCGGTCTCTGCTGGAGTCTGAGCTGAAGGAGGTTCTGGTGAACCTGCATGAGTTCATCTGGTTTCACCAGAATCCGACCCGGTGGCTCCGATGACGAGCATTAAGAATAACTCTATAGAAACAGACCATCTTCTCTCTGATGGTCTCTGTACTGGTGGAGGTCTGTATTTAGTTATTTTATTTATTCTTTTTTCAGGATCATTTGAAGTGTTTGTTGTTGTAATACCCATTCTGGCCGCTAGATGCTTCGTTCTAATTGAACATAAGGTGGTGGTGGACTTTCATTAACTAACTGATAAAGTTGCATTCATTATTATTATGTTTTGGGCCACTAGGGGGCAGCAGACTGAGATGTAAACACAACACTGACACATCACACTCACCCACACACACACACACACCCACACACACACACACACACCCACACACACACTCACACACACCCACACACACACTCACACACACACACACCCACACACACACACACACACACACACACTCACACACACTCTCACACACACACACACACCCACACATACACACACACACACACACCCAAACACACTCTCACACACACACACACCCACACATACACACACACACACACAAAAATAAAGAATGTGTGGTGGGCTGTAATCCGTAATCTCCCCAACACGGACCAGGTGGAGGCGGGTCCTGGTCTCATTTTTCCCCGCCTGGTGTTGAGGAAAAAGGGGGATGGACGACCCCGACCACCGGAACCAGTCTCCCGGGTGTGTGTCGGTGTAATAGTGTAGTTGTTGTTGTTGTTGTTGTTTGTGTGATGCTTCAACACAGAACGCGTTAAATTGGTCTGCAGGATCTGCAGAAATGGAGCCGAGCGACCCGGACGAGAACGAGACCGGCGCGTCGTCCCAGCAGCAGACCACGATGTGGAGACAGTTCCAGGCCAGAACCAAGCCGCTGCTCAGCCCGAAGCTGGGCTCCAGAGACCCGGAGGACAAGAAGGACCGAGGCGGCGGGTGGATGTTCAAGAAGATGAAACGGAGGGAACACGCCGTCCTGGACCGGGTGATCTCCTCCTCGCAGCCGGACCTGCTCTTCTCCGCTCCGCTCTGCGGCAAAGCGCCGACGCACAGCCCGAAGAAGTCCACGGTGGCTCACCTGGTGCAGTCCCACCACAAGAGCTCCTCTCTCGGGTCGGCGTGCCTGGAGAGCCTGGCCGAGCCACCGAGCGGCGACAGCGGCAGCAGCGGCGGAGGAGGAAGCGGCGGCGAGGCGGCAACAGCTGCTGCCGCAGCGGCGGAGACGCAGATTGAGAGCCGGGACGAGCAGCCGGTGAGTTCACCAGTCTAATGTGGTGGTTTTGGTGGTTTTGGCCTTTTAATGTGGTTCTAGTCTGCAGTGATATCTAATCTCTGGTTAGTGGACGTGAGGAAGCAAGTCTCGTGCCTCATAGCAGGAAATGATAAACTAAATATATAGATCACTAGTATCACTATATCACTATATCACTAGTATCACTATATCACTAGTATCACCAGTATCAGTAGTATCACTAGTATCACTATATCACCAGT